ATATATATATATATATATATATATATATATATATATATATATATATATATATATATATATATATATATTTATAATTTACACTAAAATAAGCAAGGTTATAAATAGTGGTATTAATAATTGCTACTAACAACAACCCACAATTAAATATTATATATTCCCAAATCACATTTTAATTTTTCTTATTTTGGAAGATTTTTTTTTTATAAAAAAAAATATCTCAAATTTAATTAAACGGATCAGTTTTATTTATTTATTCAAATTTTTATTTTGAATAAAAATAAAATTTAACATTTAATAAAATAGTTAATTATCGAAATAACTTAATTCAATCCTTTTTTTTGTTTAGTTGAATTGTTATTTTTTTAATTATTAAAAAAATATACTTATTTATAGTACAAAAATTCTTAATTTTTATAATAATCGATAGAGTTGGATTGAGTTATGACTCTATTTTTAGGTAGCCGTCAAACTTGTGAAATGACAAGAATTTTTCTTTTTTCAAAAAATTCAAAAAAAAAAATCTAATTGTTGGAGTTTTCAGGTCATATGTGTTGGATGATGGAAGTCCCACATCGACTAATTTAGGGTGTGATCATGGGTTTATAAGTGAGGAATACTAACTCCATTGGAATGAGGCCTTTTGGGGAAGCCCAAAGCAAAGCATGAGAGCTTATGCTCAAAGTGGACAATATCATACCATTGTGGAGAGTCGTGTTCGTCTAACAATATGAACACCTAATAAATTAAAAAGAAAAAACAAAATTATAGTTAAAACTAAAAGCAAGTAAATTAATAGGAAAATTGAAGAGGCAATTATGATCTCCTCTTTGCTATATATACACCCATTTCCCCTCCTCTCGTTACTCACACACGCGCTCTCTCTCTCTTTCTCTGCTCCACTGCCTTTGCTACTGTTTATCCCCTTCTTCAATTTCCCCCTAAAATAATACTTTTGGTAGCAGAGGCAGCGGCAGAGGCCATTGGGTTGGCCAGGTTGTTGAGAGAGAGACAGAACAGAGATGACATCAATTTTCTACTACAAAGAAGAGTGAGATCTGAGTTGTAACTTCCCTTTTCTGCTCTGTTTTCCATATTTCCAAGGATTTTTGTTATTTCCCTTCCATTTTAGCCACTCCCATTCCCATTCACTTGTTTGTTTCTTTCAGAATCCTTTAAAACCCATCGATCCATCGGTTTCTTCTTCTTCTTCTTCTTCTTCATTCGCCGCTCTGTTTCAGACAGAGGCCATGGCAGAAGCTTCACAGATTCTCTTACCGGAGTCGTTTCAAGGGGGAAGAGGCGATTTCTCTGACCAAATTTGGCTCATATGGGAGCTCATCAAAGCGCCATTGATAGTTCCTGTGCTTAGATTAATGGTTTATATCTCATTGGCAATGTCTCTCATGCTTTTCTTTGAAAGGCTTTATATGGGAATTGTCATTATTCTGGTTAAGCTCTTTTGGAAGAAGCCTGAGAAACGTTATAATTATGAACCCATTCAGGATGATTTGGAATTGGGAAGCTCCAATTTCCCTCATGTTCTTATTCAAATCCCTATGTTTAACGAAAGAGAGGTGGGTTCTCCTCAATTTTGCCTCCCCTGTTTTCTGCTACATTTGTTCATCAAATAACACAGTTCTGAAATCTGCGACTGTTTTGTTTGTTACAGGTTTACAAGATCTCCATTGGAGCTGCTTGTGGACTTTCCTGGCCGGCCGACCGCCTCGTCATCCAAGTTCTTGACGATTCAACCGACCCTGTCATTAAGGTACTCAAAAACTCTTCTAATCTCCCGACTCTCATCGTTTTCAATCCCCAAATCACAAAAACCTGATTTCCCAACACGAAACCCACACGATTCTTATCGAATCTTCAATCAATCCAACTCCAATGTGGATTTACACACATTTTTGCAGCAAATGGTGGAACAAGAATGCCTAAGATGGGCAAGCAAAGGGATCAACATAACATACCAAATCAGAGAAACCAGAGGAGGGTACAAAGCTGGAGCTCTGAAAGAAGGGCTTAAACGGAGCTACGTTAAACACTGTGAATATGTCGCCATTTTCGACGCCGATTTCAGGCCGGAGCCGGATTATCTCCGGCGAGCCATTCCGTTCTTAGTCCATAACCCAGATATTGCTCTGGTTCAAGCTCGCTGGAGATTCGGTAAGCTGCTTTACCTGTTGTTTTCCATTTTACAGTCAATTCGATTCCGTTTTGGTTCATGTTCTTGTGATTGATTTAGCTGCATTGTTTATTTGAGGAAATTCAACATAAGCGTTGATTAATTCCATTTATGGGTTCGTTTAATTATCAGTGATGCAATTTCCTAGAGTGTCGGTGGTCGAATAATAGTAGTCTTTTAAAAAAGATAGAACCAAATAAATAAATAAATTGTTTTTTTTTTCCCCCTTTCTGTAAGTTTTGTTTTTGTCTAATCAACCCCCTTATCGTCGGCGGGGGGAAGATTGGATGCAGGAGGGGTATGTGGGGCCCACATTAATACACACAAAAAAGAACCATCAATCACGGGGTGGTCCCCACATTTTAGAAACCCTCTCTGCCACCATGATCGGGACACATGTTCTACAGAAAGCTCATCACTAGCTGTGGTCCCCACTCTCTGAACAAAAAAATTAAATAAGTATAAATATATAAGAAAAATACCTAGCATTTACTAAAATGTATGATTTATTTCATATAATCTTAGTCCCATTTTATATATATATATAGAATTAATTAATTTTTGTATTTTTCAATAAATCTAAATTTCATAAGATTTACAATATAGTATAATGTAATATGGTTTAGTAGTTTAGACTTTAGACTAATTTATTATTAATTGTCGCATTAATGTCAAATTTTAATTTTATTAATAAAATTAAAAGCTGTTATTTATTTATTTTTTTTTTTTTTAGGTCGATTAATAAATTATGTAAAACGTTATGGCCTTTTTGCCAATTGTCAACATCCTGTCCCCTAAGCATACCAGAACTTGCAGTGTTGAGCGGGGTAGAATTGTAATTTCCTATTCTGAAAACTTTTTCTCCCGTAGAGTTCGGGGGTAGTTTTGTCATTTGGAAAAAAGCTGCCACTACTGTCCACGTGGCTTTTCCACAAAATTCCTCTTTTTTTTTTTGTTAAATTAAATTTAATTTGGGTATTTATTTAGTGTGTTTCGTACAATAAACGCCTTATTGGTAGGCCTCGTAATTGCTACCGACACTACCGAAGTTTGTCTTGCTCTGGATGACGTGGCACATTCTTTGCTGTGATCACGTTAGGGGTATAACGGGAATACCGTGAATCAAATTTGCCCAATTAACTAGTCAAAAGTTGCCAACTCATTCCCCACATGAAACTTCCTCCATGTGGGTCACACTGATTACCTGTACATGTCCACGTGGCCTGCTTCTTTTTGTAGATGAGTCAGAGATTATTATTATTATTATTATTATTATTATTATTATTATTATTACATTTATAACAATGATTATTCTTCATAGTTACTTGTTGATTTTAGTTGGAAAAGTGTTTTTCAATTCATAATTAATTATTTCAATTTTTTTAGAGAAATTATATTTTTTTTTTTTTTTTTTTTTTTTTTTTGGCAATAGTGAATGCAGATGAGTGCTTGTTGACCAGAATGCAAGAGATGTCTTTGGATTACCATTTCACAGTGGAGCAAGAAGTTGGGTCTGCTACCCATGCCTTCTTTGGCTTCAATGGTATTCTACTTTATCCTTTATAAACACATGATCATGGTCATTTATACTCACAAACAAGCATATTTTAGTAATGGGTCACGACCATTTTATACAAACATCATCGTTCATCGTATGAATTTGTGTCTACGCCTTACTTAATAACCATTTTGTTTTTAAAATTTGACTAAAAATTCGAATGAGTGTGAGATAGTGTGTAGTATATGAGTATGTGATGTCGAGGATTATTGGATTTATAAGTGAGGAATACTATCTCTACGAGGCTTTTTGGGGAAGCCCAAAGTAATGCCATCATAGCTTATGCTCAAAGTGGACAGTATCATATTATTGTGGAGAGTCGTGATTTCGAACCTGTGTACCATGTACAGGAACTGCTGGTGTATGGAGAATTGCTGCAATTAATGAGGCAGGTGGGTGGAAAGACAGGACCACAGTGGAAGACATGGACCTTGCGGTTCGAGCTAGTCTTAGAGGCTGGAAATTTGTCTACTTAGGTGACCTGCAGGTGAAAAAAAAATTACCCATTTGAAAAAAAACCAACTTTTCTTGTGCTGTTTATTGTCGTTGTTGGATTTTCCGACCAAACAATGAAGTTCTTGTCATGTTTCTTGATTACAGGTAAAAAGTGAGCTTCCTAGTACTTTCAAAGCCTTCCGTTTCCAGCAGCACCGATGGTCTTGTGGCCCTGCCAATCTTTTCCGCAAAATGGTCATGGAAATTGTCAGAAACAAGGTCTTACCTTAATCTCTGCTAACATAAATAACCCAAATAGTTTCTTGTTGAATCCATAATCAAAGCTGATAAGCTCTCCATGAACTTTTGTTGTTGTTTTTGTTGCAGAAAGTTAAATTCTGGAAGAAAGTTTATGTGATTTACAGTTTCTTCTTCGTTCGGAAGATCATTGCCCATATGGTTACTTTCTTCTTTTACTGTGTTGTTCTTCCCCTTACCATTTTGGTTCCTGAAGTGTATGTACCAATCTGGGGAGCTGTTTACATTCCTTCAATCATTACCATTTTGAACTCAGTGGGAACTCCAAGGTTTGTGTTTGTGTTTTTTTGACAGCCCATTTTTGTGTGTTCTTTTACAACAAAACGCCAAAATTCATCTTTCTCTTATTGTGCCATGGAAAAAAAAAATGCAGGTCAATTCACCTTCTGTTCTACTGGATTCTTTTCGAAAACGTGATGTCGTTGCACCGCACGAAAGCGACTCTGATCGGTCTATTCGAAGCGGGTCGAGCCAACGAATGGGTTGTGACTGAAAAACTTGGAGATGCTCTAAAGAACAAGGCAGCTGCTGATGCTGCCAAGCTGAAGGCAAACGCCAAAGTGCCTAAAATAAGGTTGAGGTGCAAGTTGGGAGACAGGTAAAAAAAAAACATCCTCTTGAACAGAACTTAATTATGTTTGGCAATTGTGAAAACTGAATGTTGTGTTGTTATTTTGTTTGAAATGAGGACAGAATCAACACATTGGAGCTGGGATTTGCAGCGTTCCTGTTCTTGTGTGGTTGCTATGACTTTGTTCATGGGAAGAACTGCTACTTTGTGTATCTATTCCTTCAGACATTCAGCTTTCTGATCACTGGAATTGGCTATGTTGGCACCATCATCCCAAGCTCTTGAGAAGCGAAGACCACTTCCTTTGAAAAAGATTATTTATATATATATATATATATGATATATTTAGTAAAGCTGATAATGTTCTACAGAAGGAGTAGCCTGCCTAACTTAGAACAACAAAGGGGGGTTTCAGGCAATAGTTCAGTTCAGCTTCTTGGAAGAACAAGATGAACATGATGAACATGATGAACATGATGAACATGATGAACATGATGAACAAGAACAAGAACAGAGAGGTTAGGATTTGAAGAGGAAAAAGGGGAATTGCTAAGGGTATTTTCGTCATTTAGATTGTTTTTTTTTTTTTTTTTTTTTTTT